CCCAGATCAGATCAGAGCCAGATCAGATCAGGGTCTGGAGTCCCTAATCCCAGATCAGATCAGGGTCTGGATCCAGAACAGATCAGGGTCTGGACCCAGATCAGATCAGGGTCTGGAGTCGCTGATCCCAGATCAGGGTCTGGTCCCAGGTCAGATCAGATCAGGGTCCGGACCCAGATCAGATCAGGGTCTGGACCAGGATCAGATCAGGGTCTGGAGTCGCTGATCCCAGATCAGGGTCTGGACCCAGATCAGATCAGGGTCTGGGCCCAGGTCAGATCCGGGTCTGGACCAGGATCAGATCAGATCAGGGTCTGGTCCCATATCAGCTGGATTTGGCCCCAGAGTAGCTGGACCCAGATCAGATCAAAGTCTGGACCCAGGTCAGATTAGGGTCTGGGCCCAGATCAGATCAGGGTCTGGGCCCAGATCAGGGTCTGGACCCAGATGAGGTGTCGGCCACGCTCACCGTCAGCCGTGAGAGGCGTTCCCTGATCAGCAGCATGAGCAAAAGCCTTCAGCATGACAGAAGGCACTGAGTAGCACAGAGCCCTACAGACCAGACACCAGCCTTTAGCTTCGGATTATTTTCTTCTCTACATAGCATTCACAACTGGAGCTACAGCTGCTTCCACTGTGAAAGTCTCCTGATCACATTGGCCCAAGATCTTTATTCACAGGGCAAAAAGATCTACTTTGGCCTAATCTAGATGCTTTTTCCACCTGGGAGGCTACACATTGACTTAAAGGCGTTCCAGATGCAGACCTTTCCCTGAAAAGTCAGGGCTAAAAATTTTAGCTGCTTACTGACAGCTCTCTGAGCTAATGGGAACTTTGGGGTGTTTTTGAGGAGCACCTGAAACTCACCAATGACACATATAAGTGTTGGACTGGGACTGGAAAAGTCCTCAGTCTGTTTCCAGCAGCTTAGACTCAGACTTAGACTTAGACTTAGACTTAGACTGTACTTTATTGATCCCTTGGGAAGACTCCCTTAGGAAATGAAGGTTACCAGCAGCTTAAAGGGCAAAAAGTATCAAGTTAGAATTAAATTAAGCAAAAAAATACAAATGAATAAATAAAAATACAAAAAATACAGATTAAGTAGAGTGTATGTGATATCTCTTCCCCCTGTCCTGGTTCACCTCCTCGCCCCCAGTGAGGCGTTTACAGTCTGATGGCGTGGGGGACAAAAGAGTTCTTGAGTCTATTTTACGCTTCATCACAACTCCAGTCAGATGGAGGCATACATTCAGAACTCAACCTCCAATCAATCAGAGCAAATATTTAATTTCATAGGTGACTCAGCACCTTTAGCTGTTTAATGAATGGGTGCAAAGAGCCACAGGGATCCTTTAGATTAGACGTACCCTCAGTGATCTGAATGCCACAGCTTTACACACAGGAAACTGCTGAGCGGCTTCTGATGACGGCTTCCATGTTTTCCAGCCATTCTGATCACGACGATGCTGCAGAACCTGAACGCTCAGGAGAAAGACACCATCACCTTCGAGGTCACCGTCAACTACGAGGGAATCTCCTACAAATGGCTGAAGAACGGGGTGGAGATCAAGTCCACGGACCGATGCCAGGCCCGCTGCAAACAACTGACCCACACTCTGAGCATCAGGAACGTCCATTTTGGAGATAGCGCTGAGTACGCCTTCAAGGCCGGATCCGCCGTGACCAAAGCCAAGCTGCACGTGGAAGGTAAGGCCCCTCACCCCCCCGGCTGCTCCGGGTTAGGGTTAGGGTTAGGGTTAGGGTCGGAGATGAGTTATTTTTCTACAGCAGCCTGGACGGTCACCACGTGTGCCCTCGGACCTTTGCTCTGCCCCGCAGACTTTTTGGTTTGAAGCCAGAGGAACTGGAGCAGAAAGTGCCACACTATCAAAATATTGGGAAATTTGAAGAGTGTAAATGAAGTGACCGGACTCTGAGAGGCGTTTCGTTTTTAGGTAACCCTAACCGTAACCCTAACCCTAACCCCTGCTGTTCCAGCCCGCGTGGTGGAGTTCACCAAACACCTGAAGGACCTGAAGATCACGGAGAAGAAGAGAGCCACTTTCGAGTGCGAGGTGTCGGAGCCCAACGTGCAGGTGATGTGGATGAAGGACGGCCAGGAGCTGGAGATGTCCGACAGGTACCGGTGCTCGCCTCTCAGAATCAGAATCAGAATCAGGATCAGAAATACTTTAATAGGGCCGCGGCCGTAGCCTAATGGCTAGAGCGGGCGGCACATATGCAGAGCCTCCGCTCGCAAGCGGGCGGCCTGGGTTCGAATCCAACTCAACTCAACTTTATTTATAAAGCGCTTTCAGTCAGCCAAAGCTAAAATCAAAGCGCTGTACAGGCCATTTGAGCAGATCATAGAACACAATTATCACCACAACACAAGACAAACTCAAAGACAGCCCACGGCCCTTTCCCGCAGGTCTCTCTATCTCTGCCCCCTTTCCTGTCAAGCTACTGTCATTAAAGGCCACTAGAGCCAACAAAAATCTTTAACAAAAAAAAAAAAAGAAATATTTTAATAATCCCAGAGGGCGCCCGCTCACCGGCAAACCGCCCCGATGTCCGCAGGTACAAGACGAGCTCGGATAAGTTTGTGCACCGGCTGGTCCTGGCGTCGGTGCGGCTGTCGGACGCGGGCGAGTTCACGGTGGTGGCCGGGTCCAGCACCTCCAGGGCCCAGCTGGCCGTGGAGGGCCGGGACGTGAGGATATCTGAGCCCGCCAGCCGGGAGGTCACGGTGAGTGGGGGGCCAGGTGCATGCTGGGAGGTAGGGGTGGGACGGTTCACAAAACCCACGGTTCGGTTCGGTTCACGGTTTCGTGGTCACGGTTTTGGGTTTGGTTCGGTATATGTTAATAGGAAAATCTATCATGTCTTGTATAGTCGGGTTAAAACTGAAAGAAAAAAGCAGTGTGACATGTGATCCATTACTGTGACAGTCTGAGGTTAAAGTAGGTGAGATTCTGCCAGAGAGGAAACAGAGCTAATTCCAACATGTGCTTCCCTCTAAATGCAAACTGCTCCATACAGCAGACCTAGAAACTGCTGCTGGTCTGATTTTTATGGGCTACGCTGCTTCTTCTTCTTCTGGTTTCCTACTGGTGGTTGGCTTTGGGCGCAGTAGCGCCCCCTTCTGCTCTGGAGTGTAAACGCTTCCCTCTGAGAAAAAGGAGCAGCAGGAACCCAACCAACACACGCCAACCCAACCCAGACAGAACCCAACGGTTCACACGGGTTTAGAAACCCTCCCATCCCTTCTGGGAGGAGGTCTGGAGTCAGTGCTGAGTCCCGGTCCCGTTTCAGGTGGTGGAGAAGCACCGCGCCACCTTCGAGTTCGAGGTGAGCGAGGAGGAGGTGGAGGGCCGCTGGCTGCGGAACGGCGTGGAGCTGCAGTTCTCTGCGGAGGAGCGCTTCAGCTACGTCTGCATCCGCAAGCTGCACCGCCTCACCATCGCCGAGACCTACCGCAGCGACGCCGGCGAGTACGCCTTCATCGCCGGGAAGAACCGCAGCACCATGCAGCTGCACGTCAGACGTGAGTGGCCCCGGCTCCACAGGCTCCTCTGGGCCAGACCTGGCCCCACAGCCTGCAGAAGGGTCCTCCCAACTAGCCTTTTATTTCTGTTGGCAGCTCCCATGCATCCATATAGCCTTTATAATGGTTGAACCTCTGAACCATGGTTTCTTCCTCTTCTATACCCCAGATACCTGTAATCTATTTCCCTTTTTAGATGTATGTTGATCTCCTTGTTTTAGATATATGTATATATTAATGCACTCACTACTAATCATTTGTGATCATATATTCATTGCAATATATTCATCCATATAGCCTTTATAATGGTTGAACCTCTGAACCATGGTTTCT